ATTTATTCAATCAGACATGCCTATATATATATATATATATATATATATATATATATATATATATATATATATATATATATATACATATATATATACGAAAATACGTACGAAAAATTGAATTTGTAATAGCTCATGTCTAATGAAGAAAAGCAATAGTTCAAATTCCCGAGTGCTCAAAACCCACCTTACACAGTTCAAATTGTCCGGGTGCTCAAAATTCACCGTACACAGTTCAAATTGATTGTGTGCTTAAATTTCACCATACACAGTTCAATTGGTCCGGGTGCTCAAAACACACTGTACACTGTTTAAATTTAACAGGTGCTCAAAACACACCGTACACAGTTTAAGTTGCCCAAAACACACTGTACACAGTACAAATTATATGGGTGCTCAAAACTCACTGTACATAGTTTAAATTGCCCGGGTGCTCAAAACCCACCGTGCATAGTTCAAACTGCCCGGGTGCTAAAAACCCACTGTGCACAGTTCAAACTGCCCGGGTGCTCAAAACATACCGCACACAGTTCAAATGGCTCGGGTTCTCATAACACCCCGTACACAGTTAAAATTGCCCGGATGCTCAAAACCCACATTGCGTTTATTTTCTTTTTACTATAACGTTTAGATAACTTTTGCACTTAAGCTTGGCTATAACTTCTTTTAAGTATTCACTTCTCAAAGTATATTTGCTCAGTGGAGAAAAAAAATACTCGATTTAAATAGCAACGCTTAAAGTAAACAAGCAAACTAGACACGGACATTTTTTCATCACTTAGTATTGGCTGTCTTTATTTTTTTCTGTTTTTGATGAAGTTATTAGTTTTTGAATTGTTGAAATTTTTTCCAGTTATAGACCCCCCCCCTCAACTTGCCTGGCAGCAAGGCCATAGGCTATGATTAAACTCTGTCGCCACTAGTCAGCGGCTGTCTCTACATTCTGTATATTTTAAGATCTGTTCTCAAACAGCCAGGGCCTTTAACAATGGCCGATGCTTGACTGACATTTCATCCAAGAACCGACTTGCATATTTAAATTGCTTTCCGAAAGGCAATTTTCTTTTTCTCATAATTGAAGACTAACTGACTGTGAATTATCAGGCCTTGGTATGTGAACCTATAAATGTGAACGAATGTATGTGCGTATGAGTAATTGAACATATGCCAATGTGTTGGTATGTCTATGTGCATTTAAGAAAGGTTTCTGGTAAATACCTTTATAAGACAGTATGCGAATAAACAGAGTCATATTACAGGTGCAATTTTACGAGTATTGTACTGACCAGTCAAAGGGAAGTCAGAATTGGTTAACATGTTAGGCGTACAAGCCATCGATAGTTAGTTCAGGGGACCGCACAAACTGCTAACAGGAAAATATTATGACAGACAGTTTTCCTTTGTGAAAAAAAATTGATTAATATTACAAGTGAAATTTTACGAGGACTTAACTGATCAGTATTAGTTGATTGATTTGTTTTTATGGCTTATTAACACTTTATGTATTATTAAAAACCGAAATGTATTTTGTATTGTATGAATTATTTTTTTTTTTACTAAAGGTTGATAAGCCGTAAAAAACGTTAACAATGATTTTGAGAATAACAATGATTTTTCCAGCTACAAATTCTACTATTTAATCCATAGCTGAGGATAGGAGATGGATTCATACATTTCCTAAGGGTAGTTTTACCTAAGTGAATATAACGAACCCGACTAGAATTCGACCTTGTCTCTCTGATTTCTCATTGCAGGCTGCTACCCATTACCCCACCCATACATCCCGAACTGGTCAGTAAAAACTAAGTCAGAATTTTGTCTTCTGATTATGTCGACGATGTATTTATCTTGAATATCAGTTTTTAAAATCTTAATTTTTCATGAAGTTTCGTTTAGTCTGACACAGGGCCATCACTGATTAATTGATTTGTTCGTTTTTTATGGCTTATCAACCTTTTGCAGGTTATTAAAAAGACAGAAAATATTTATAGATTGTAAGAATTTAATAAACATAATAATAATGATTTTATTGATACAAGTTACAATTTTTACTAATTAGCCAACAGCTTGGGGTAGGGGAGAAGAGAAAATCATTCCTTTCCCAAGAGTATATTGTACATAAGTGAATATAAGGAAACCAACTGGAATTGGAATTTGATTCTCTGATCTATAATTCCGAACCATTATCGATTACACTACCTGCACATCCAAGACTTACAGCACCTGGTATTCCTAAGTGGGTACCAATCCTAGTACTGACCACGCCCAATATTACTTAACTTTGGTAATTGTACGGGAACCGGTGTTCCAACACGATGTGGCCATAAGCTCGCACAAGATCAGATGGGAGACAATGACAAATGTTCTGACAATTTTGACATTTGCAGCTAAGAACCGTCATGCCGCATATATTTTATAGTTAGCTCAGTATATATTGGGGACACCACAGATCAACTTCTCTTAGAACAAAGGTTCCATATTGAAATTTAGTTCAATTCGGACCATCTAAAGACATGAAACCAGTCTTCCCTGGTCCAATGGAGATATTATCTTGACCAGGTGAGGTGCAGTAACTGATGTAGTGGCGTTAATCATAAAATCCTTGTTGTCAACAACTACAAAATGCAGTGTATGCTGTACAGAGTATTGACTAATGGGTTGAAAGGGCACTAACATTGAATTGGGATGGGATTTGATACAATGTTTTTTTTTGGCAGCTGCCATCCTTGTCAGTCAACTGTGGTCCCATTCTTGCATCACAATGCCAGTAATGAACTTCTGTATTGTGGAACCGACTCTCAATTGGATGCTTTCCCAATCACTAGAATCTTAACCTGTTCAAGTCTAAGGTTAACCATTATCTTTCCCACATATTTCCATAATCTGCACATCTTACTCTGTAATTCTCTAGTCTTAGGCTTTGTAAAGGGTAAACATCATTGTAAAAAAAAATGCCTACTGACATGTAGCAAGGAATTTACATATTCCTGTTATATCCTTCTTACTGTGACCTAAGACAAACCTTGAGCAGTTTCCTCTTTGAAAATAGAGTGCCTATCTTCCTGGCCCCAAAAATCATTCTGTGATCAAATGGTGTTAAATATTGCCATCGTGGTCACCACTATATTGTCACAGCTACACTACTTATTTACCTACTAGAGAGTGAAAATTATACAGTGTAATTTTATTTTTTTTAAATTTTCAGTTTAGCAGTTTTGTCTTTCATGCTCCAATAGTGATTTTCTTTGGCCCAGTTGAAGTGAAGTAATTGATTTTGTTGTGCCAATAATGGTAGCCTTGTCAAGGTCAACAACTATGAAAACTGATGTACAGTGCATTCACTAATGTGTTCAGTTGCACTAATGTTGAACTGAGATGTCTGATTTGGTACAATGTCTCTTTTCATTTCTTGGCTACCATGCTTGTCACTCACAGGTGGCCCCATTCTACAACGGGTAAAAGCTTAATCTGACAACTGGACAATTTTACTTTCACATGATTTGGACAATTTTGCTGGTAGAACCAATATATATATATATATATATATATATATATATATATATATATATATATATATGGGCTTTCTGACCATGAGACCCAGGTTTGAATCTCATGAGGGTCAATTTTTCAGACAAGTGACTTCCTGATGTTATTGGTCTGGAAGAGCTGAATCTGCATGGGGGAACTTTGGAAAATGTCTGAAAACAATACAATGGCATGACCCCAGCCTTGTGAGTGAAATTGGGCAGATGGAACCTTTGGGAGCCAATGGTAATTGTGCTAGCACAAAGTCACAAGTCATCATGACCGAGTGTTTGAGGGTGCTGGCCTTGCTCAGACTGTTAATCATGCTAGATAATGCGCTCTATCTCAGAAACTGTAGCTAATGTCGGCTCAGCCTAATTGCAGCATAAAACACAGCTGGGCTCTGCAGATGTTGAACAAACACAAATGCAGGTGTCTGCAATGGGGATTAGCTAGCTGCTCTAGCAGACTGGCATCTTCAGATATGAGGGAGCAGTCATCTCTCTCTCTCTTTCTCTCTCTCTCTATCTATCTATCTATCTATATATATATATATATATATATATATATTCAAACAGGTTTGGTTAAATAATTTAGACATATCATGTTAACTAGTTTTTGTTGTGATCTTTTCAAGTTCACAGATTCATTTTTTGGTTGATTTAGAAAATTGAGTAAGAAAAAATACCAAAATCTTTCAAGTAGTTTTTATTTTATCAGAGAATTTCAATCGCATTTGAGACTATCTTCAGGTGTTAAGTTGTCTGTGAGTATGTATATATGTTTCTGTGGATTTAAAACATTTCTACTGTTTGTTTTTTTACTGCTTATTCAGTGTTCTAGATTTCAAAGTTCAAAGGTTCATGTGTTAAATTAACCTGCTCGAAAGAAAATTTTGAGATTTTTATTACTCACTTTCCTAAATTTAGCAAAAAATAATCCGTGAACTTGAAAGGGTCATAATGAAAACTAATTGACATATGTCTAAATTATTGAACCAAACCTGTTTGAATGAAAAATATGCTACCTAAATATACACAATATATATATATATATATATATATATATATATATATTATATGTTGAATGATAGATGTGAGTTTGCGACCCTGGGTTTCACACTTCTGACGATCGCAAAAGCGTGAAACCCAGGGTCACAAACTCACATCAATTCAACCAAATATATTAGCTCTATCTCTGATATTGAGTGCTTTCTAATAAGTACTATATATAATATATAAATAATAATATATATAATATATAATATATATATATATATATATATATATATATATATATATATATATATTTATGTTTATATTTATATACACACACTTTTCACACACACACACACACACACACACACACACACACACACACACACACACACACACATATATATATATATATATATGATAAAGAACAAATAGGAAATGTTTATAAATCTAACATGTTTCAGTTTTATTAAAGCTTCATCAGAAAATGAGATATGAAAAAAAATATTTCTGGTATTCTTATTTTTGTGTTGTTTGATTTTCATTGGTTAACCAGATTTCATGTGCATTTGACTCGTCAAGTAGTGTTCATGTGTATAATTTATGTGTGTAAGTGCACCATAATTCTAGCTTATCTGTGCAGGATTTGAATTATAATGTATATATGTTTGTGTGTATGTGTCTAGTAGGTATTATTTATGTTTGGAGATTGTTAGCGTTTTTTTATATATATATATATATATATATATATATATATATATATATATATATATAAAACATTGTATTTCACAAAAGAAATACAAAAAAACTGTTAACCGGGATATTAAAATAAAACAATTATATAAATATAATTAAAATTCTTAACAAATATTTAGAGAATTCAAATATACAGAATATCCAATAAGCTATAAATAGTTAGAACTTTCCACTAGATTAACAATTTACTTATAAATACTTACACACTCATTCGATTTCTCAAACTGAAATACTTGGCTCCACAGATAATTCACTTCAAAAGTTGTCTTAATATTTAACTCCTGATTATATATATATATATATATATATATATATATATACAAGTTCTATTAAAGGCGACTGACAATGTACAGTGATTAGACATTTTACTTAATTTTTCTTTAGTCATATAAATGCTTTTTCTGGGCATGATGTGTGTAAGAACTGTTTGAATGTTCTATATATCTGAGCACTTTCAATTATTCTATTAGTCATTATGAATGATTTTTTTTTTTATTTTTAACTGAATATGTAGATTTTTATATGTGTCTCTATAGTGATAGGAATGTTTTTTTATTTTCCAAACACGGTCAGTACGTTGTGGCCATGTTCATAGTTAACATTATCAAGAGTTGGCTTTTTCTTTTTGATTATTAATGCTTCCATTACTTTTATCTATTTTGTTTTACATCAGGATGAGACTATAATAGTACTTTCTATGTGTATGTTTGTAGGTTTCCATAGGTTTACATGGTCCCCTTCTAGGATCAAACGAATAGAGGTCATTGTGGCTGGCTTAAAATCAGAATTGTCCTTTTTTTAGGGTTAAAAAGATTAACACAGGCCACAGTAGGTTTACAGTATTGCAAACAAAATCATATATGAGATACAATGAAATAAGCATAAAAATAAAAACAATAAATTGCTTTAGTATACATTTCAGAGAAATGATTATATATTTTAAAGAGCAACATCAGGAAGAGACAGTTGAAATTTCTAGTGTACATAATGAAGAAAGAGAGCTTAGAAAATCTGATACTCACAGGACAGATTGAAGGCAAGAGGGACAGAGGAAAACAATGCATAACCTACTTAGTGTGTTTAAGGAGAAAATAACAAGGTTTAGGAGAAATAACAAAAAGACAAAACTTATTAAGAGCTACAAAAGACAGGAAATTGTGGAGAGCCATGATCACCAACATCCTGAGGGGACATGACACATAAAGAAGAAAAAGAATCTATGCAAATTTTCTGCTTAGATTACAGATCAAACTCTGTTTCTCTTGTATTGTCATTTACTAAGCTAAGTTTAGTTCTAGAACAAGTATGGGGTACCCAATCAGGATTGAACTCAGTGAAAGTGGCAAACAGACTAGCTCCAATACTTTGTCTACTTTAACTTCATCTTTTCTCATTTTTAAATTACAGTAAATCTCTGCAAATTCGTTTTTATTTTTTTTTCATGTCTGGGCCATTACTTGCCCTCCACATATCTTTAGGAGATTTGGCTCCAATCTTATCTTAATAAAAATATTTTGGTACCAGCCATGCCTTTGGCAAATATGTAATCCTATTCCTACACTTTTTGATAAATGGTAAAGTAAGTTTAATTTAGGTTAATAAGTTCTGGGTATGATGATGAACTACATCTGGCAGCAAGGCCTCTTAATTGTTGTTGTTCCCAGGTCCACTCTAACCCGGAGTCTTAGTACTGGTTAGGGTCCCATCTATGGGTAAATAGTGATCTCCTAAACAAAAAAAAAAAACACCATGAAAGTATAAAAATACATTTTTATAGTAAAAATATCACAAGTACATTTTTATATAAAAATTTACCAACAATACATATTTATAATAAAGTGACCAACAATACATTTTATAACAAAATAACCAACCAAACATTTTATATGTAGTTGAAGACATACAACTGCATTCAAAATATATTTAGTTGAAGCCATAAAATTGTGTTTCAAATCTCAGCATTAAATAACCCATAGAGGTTGATATGCCACTAAACAAAGTCAAACAACCAACCAACTTAGCCTAATAAAAATGAAAATATTCTAATGGAAACAGTTTTTAATGCAATATGAGAAGAATGAATTACTGGAAATAATAAATTATGGAATAAAAAGATTATTTAATTTACTTTCAGAGTCACTTAATCAAAGCTAAGAATTTGGATAAGAAATGAAGATAAGAATAAATTCATAAAAAAATTTAAAAGCATGATTTCTTTTTGGTCAAATTTTTACTTGCACAAATAACCATGCCTTTTTGTGTAACAAGGAGTTTCAATGTAAGATACCACTCAGAAACCTTGAGTTTATTTGGTAAAGAATATTAGAATAATCTGGAACATTTGCTGGGAACAAGCCAGTTGCATATGAATAGAAGAATGAACTGTAAAAATACACTGCATTATTTAATTTAGAAATAAGAAAACTAGAAGCCCTACCATGATTTATTATTGATGAACACAATCCTAACAATATAATAATAATATATTATGCAGATGACAGCATAATATATGCTGATGACAGACACGGAAGGAAAACTTCAGGAAATCCTAGACAAGTTAGTAAAGGAAAATGAGAAGGACTAACCATTAATTGTAAGAAAACAGTCTATTCCTTATCTATCTATCTATCTATCTATCTATCTATCTATCTCAGTCTCTTCATTATCTCTGTATCTATCTATCTCACTCTTCATTATCTATCAGTCTCTTCATTATTTATATATCTATTTCAGTCTCTTCATTATCTATGTATCTATCCATCTTAGTCTCTTCATTATCTATTACAGTCTCTTCCTTATGTTTCTATCTATCTATCTTAATCTTTTTATTATCTATCTTAGTCTCTTCATTATCTATCTATCTATCTTTTATAATAATTTATACAGATTTAGTTCATTTTACATCTATTTTTATTTATATAAAGTTGTAATTATGTTTTTTTTAAATAATGATTTAATTAAAAATAAATGACACTCTTGAGGTTTCTGTGTTGTCATTTGTGTTTTTGCCAGAGTCTCAAGCTTCACACATACCAGCTCTATTGTCTCATGAGTCGTCACTTTGGCAGATGTTCTATAACTTACCCACCTATTTATTTCATATTATTAACCAAACAAAAATAAAAATAACTTACCCACCTATTTATTTTGTATTTAACCAAACAAAAATAAAAATAAACACATACACATGCACACATTGTTGTATGCTTGTATGAGGCTTGTATTGTCTTTGGCAATACATTTTTCAGTCATTTCACTGCAAGCAAGGCAACAAATCCACTAAGATGCAGGGGGATTACTGTGTCTGAAAGAATATAAGAAAATGAAAACATTATTAAGGAGCAAGAACAATAAAAGAATAAAAATTAAGAAGACAGAAGATAATTTAAATTTCTGAAGATCAAAGTTGACTGGAACGCATGAAGGCAGAAGAGAGTTCTACAAACGAGAAGTGCGAGAAAGGAAAATGTTAGCATAGAACTTACAGTTACATCTAGGCAATTTAATTGTGAATTGATGAGACTTTGCCGCCAATCTAGTACAGCACTTGAATTCATAGAGTCAAGATACCATAGAGGAAAGTAATATTAATTTTGTAAAGCATGAAACAGACTGTCGCCTCTAAGTGTTGACTTCTAAGTTCCCTTTATATTTACACATGCTCTATCTCTGATATTGAGCACTTTATCCCATAAATATAGTACATCTTAAGACTATATTTCTTCATATATATATATATATATATATATATATATATATATATATATATATATATAGAAGTAAATATTATATATATATATATATATAAATATAAAAGTTATATATATATATAAATATAAAAGTGAACATTAGAGACTATATTTCTTCATATATATATATATATAAATATAAAAGTGAACATTATATATATATATATATATATATAAATATAAAGTTATATATATATATATATATCTATATATATATATATATATAAATATAAAAGTGAACATTAGAGGCGACGATTGCGTCTAGCATGAAACAGCCTGTCGCCTCTAAGTGTTGATTTCAATGTTCATTTTTATATTTTCACACACACTCTATCTCCGATATTGAGCACTTTATTCCATAAATATAGCACACCTTAAGAGTACATATATATATATATATATATATATATATATATATGTACAGAGAGGGAAAGAGAATTAGTGCAAGTAAAAGCTTTGTCACTTAGCTGATTGATGTTTCTTTCAGCATCCCGACTTCAGAATTTCACTGATGGACTCTCTGGGAATCACTCCATCCATTCATCAGGGTATCAGCAATTGAGTGCTTAAGGACATCTAATTAAATTAACTGTGAGAAAATGTTGCCAATAGCACAGTACTTAAATTCATAAAGTCTAGATACCATAGAAGAAAGCAATATTTATTTTGTAAAGGTTCAAAAATGTGATATAAACCCAAAAGGAATAGTTGGGAAAGGCTGGACTTCTTTTGTCTTATAATTAAACCTAGCCAGCCACAATTACTGGCCATTCTTACCATATCCACCATGATACCTCAAAGTCTTTGTGAAATCCTATCTAGTCCCCATATGTATAATTTTTTGTCTGTAGAGGAGGAAAATAAAAAACAACGATTGAGGAAAGTTTAGAACAATTGCCATGAAAATATTCATAGAAAAGACACATGGAGGCTACATTACGGTGGTGGGAAAGTGACTGAAGCTGAGACGCTAGGTCAGAACCATTGACATTGCGGATTCTTCTTTAGATTTTATCGAGAATCTCTAAATATATAGCTGGAGCACTAGACCATATGTGGCAGCAATATTCAAAGCATGGACCAACAGTTGATTTATAAATATGTAAGATAGATTCAGATGAGAAAGATTGTCTAGCACAACACAGTGAACAACTTTTCCTAGAGGCAGACTTAGCAATTGATTCAATATAATTTTTCTATTTCATGCCAGTGGAAAACATCAGCCTGAGAAATCACCATTAAAAATTGTATTTTTTCTCTGGTTTATGTAATTGAAGTTTTATACTGCAGTTGGTTGAATCATATATTTTCTAATTTAGATTAACATTTTCCAGTACCCAAAGCTATTTTAATTCATCTCTTTTAATTCAGAACTGATCTCTGATAAGATCTGAAATGGATCTAATCTGATCTATACATGAAAAATAAACAAGAATTCAAATGACAAAAACAAATTAAGAAGCAATGGAAACCAAAAGCACACTTATACTTAACACCAGGATAAAACAGTTGAAGTTTTTAGGAAACATAATGAGGAAATGAGGAAAGAGGGCTTGGAAAGTTTGATACTCAAAGGACAGGTTGAAGGCAAGAGGAACAGAGGAAAACAATGCATAAACTATCTAGTGAGCTTGTGTAAATGTATTTCAGAACAGGGTTTTAGAAAGATAACAAAAAGATTTATTAAGAGCTACAAAGGATAGAAAATTTTGGAGAGTCATGACTACCAATGTCCTGAAAGGGCATAGCACACAGAAGAAGAAGAATTAAACCAATTATATTATAATTACAAAGGAGAAGAAGATTACAATAAATTTCTTCTATAGATAGCTATCAACAATGCTTGGAGTAAAACGATTAAAAATACACACACACACACACACACACACTTTATTGTTATTTACCATTCTTATTTGAATTTTATATTGCTTAACTTTTAATTTTTCTTTTATTATTAATTATTTTGGTTCCAAGCTAATAAGGGCTAGGGGTTATTTAGTAATTTATTTGTTGCTATCAAAATAAGCTTAATAATGCATGTTTTGGGTTTAATTCTGCTCTATTATTGCTACTATTAATCAGCCTTCAAAATCTAATGTTTTGTTCAATTATTTTTTTGACTTATCACAATGTCAAAACATTGAATTTATCCAGATTATTGTGCTATCATATTTTCTGCTAACCACAATTTTGCCTTGGAGGCAACAGAGTTCTGAAGTATGATGTAATATCAGTGATTAATCTCCTTTCAAACTTGAAATAATTCTTGAGCTTCAAATGTGTGTATGCATTTTTTGGGGGGAGAAGAAAAACATCTTGTAGGGATTTTATAAGTTAATTGTGTAAAGCAGTACCACTTTAGTCCAACTAATTAGATGAGTCAAACAGGAAACCCATTTTTTAAATTTATGCCTACACTCCTAATGTGAACATGTCAACACACACACACACACACACACGTATATATTTCTAAAGAAGTGATGGATTTTTATTTACATTATTTAGACTGTTATCCTCATCTTCACATTGCTATATTCACATTTTGGCCATTGTATGCTTTGGCTTTCTTCAGGGGATTGGAATTTTGAACGAAACCTTTTATTTCGTCCAATAGGGTATATTGTTCTAGCTCCACATGTGATGCCTCTTCCTGATATCTCAGTTATTTCCATGATTTTTGGTTCACCACTGCTGTAGCCTGGTATTGAAATCACAACTTTTTGGGTCTAGTCACTGGATCTAATCAACATCTTTATCCACTGATCTATGTGTCCTTGAAATATTCAGAAGAGGCATGGCACGTGGAATGAGAACAGTCTACCCCGGTGGATGAAGTAAAGGGTTCGGTTTGAAATTCCATTCACCTGAAGAAGGCTGAAGCATACAATGGGCGAAACATTGTGAATATGGCAATGAAGATGAGGATAGCAGTCTGAATAATGTAAATAATGTAAATAAGCATAATAATCTCATCTCAGAGATGTAGACAGATGATGGATTTTTATTTATTAATCCAACAGATTTTATAACTTAAAAAGTTTTAGTGGATACCCATATTTGAGTAGATGCTCCATTTATTTATTATACCTTATATTTCTTTATTTTCGGCTACCAGCCTGAATGTTTGAGAAATCTAATTAAAGAAAAATATGCCCTCACCAGTGCGAGGTTGCCTTAACTTTTGATAAAATGAGTGATGTCTGAAGGAGGAACCCAAGTTTGTTTGGTTGAGATGTCAACAAGAAGATGGATGCATGAGAATCATAAGTAATGAGTTTGTTGACCCATGGAAGACAGCTGATGGTATTAGAATGGCCTTCTTTGTCTATAGTGAATTTGTAAAGGTCAACTTTCAGGTATAGCTTAGAAGAAAACAATGACATTCAAACAAAAAGCCATTTCCATGCATGATAATGCTTCAACTCACACTGCTAGTACAACTAATGAATACTTAAATTTTGGTTTTGCAAATGAGAGGATTATAGCATGTCTGTGATGTTTCAAGATTTAAACCCCATCAAGAACTCTTAGAACATTGTCAAGATGTGGGTTTATGAGAACAGTAAGCAATTTGTACCCAGAAACAAAATTTGTAAAGCAGTGTGTGAAACCTTCATCCTTCTTCTTTTGACAGTAAGCTGATTCAAGTGATTAGAAAAAATAGAAATTCTGTCATTACTTTTCTGCTACACTCAGCTTGTTGTAAATAGTTTTGTATGCTATTTGTTTGAATAAATTATTGTTGGTTTAGTCATTGGCTTTCATTTATCCTTAGAGATGTTCAAATTGATTTTTTAAAACGATTGAATAAAAATTGGAACAGTCTAGTTCTCAAACTTTTTTTTTCTCTGGGCTGCATTTTTAGAACATGCAACATGTAATTACAAGTAATCCATAATAATATTTTAAATTTTGAAATCATATTTATTTTTAGCATATGAATTTTTTGAAACTCTTTCCAAATCTTTGATTGTCTTTCAATTATTCCAATTTCCCTGCTATTCTTTTCTGCCACACCTATAAGGTACACTGCATCATTTGAAAACTGCTGGTCTAGAAAGTGTATTTCTGTAAATAATAAATAAACACTGTATATCTTCCATCCTGGGTATGATGATAAGCTGTTAGGGTCACAGGTATGGGCAAATAGTTGACCCCCAAACTGGGGTCAAAACACTATGAAAGTGTAAAAAATAGGTTTTAATACCAGAAATACTTTGTAAGAAAAGAAATTTATTACCAGCTATATATTTTTGAAGAAAAAATATTACCAGAAATAAAAATTTTGTCAGCATTAAATAACCCATTGAAGTTGATATGCCATAAAACAAACCAAACCAAACCAAACAGTATATCTTATATAGGTCATAAAGCAACCACTCTTTCATATAGACTTATATGCTATTCATCTGACCAAACAATTTTATAAATCCATTTGTAAAAAATGACCAAAGATTATAAGACATTAGCATCCAACATAAGCGACAAGAAAAAAAAATTATTGTGCTACAACATTCTTGAATACATAAAAAATTATTAATCTAAACACATTATTTAAAAAATAATGGCACAATCTATTTCTAAAAGAACTCTTAACTTTCTTTTTTCACCACCTATCATAATGATGACACATGTGAGTTGAAAGTTTGGCACAACACAACACAAATTTTGGCCAAAATTTCATGCTTTGAATCTATATACAATTAATTTTAAATTTGGCATATTTGGGAAGGAACTCTTCTTTTAAACATGTATTATTAAAAAAAAACAATAGACATTTTGTATTTATTATATTTAATGATTTTTTTTTTTTCTAATGTACAAATATCTTTTTTCTGAATGTAGTTGGTTTTGGAAGCTGTTTGTGAAGCTATCACCCTGAAAAGAATTATTAAATCAACTACTTTTGATACTAGGCTGCTTCAAGTGATTAGAGAAAACTGAATTCTATTTTCATTTCTATTTGTGACTTAAAATTTGAGGATATTTCCACATATGCAAAAGACTTCTATTTGGCTAAAATCTTTTGACATCCTCACCTTCTAATTATTATATTTTTTTATTTGTATAAAATATTGGATTGCAATGTAATAAAAAATGAATAATATCTTAAATGAATGGATTTATATTGTTAAATTTGATCTTCAATCCATCATTGGTATTTGTAGCTTAAATGGCAGAGCAGCTGTTATGCATAGGCAGGTTTCCCAAATTATAAGTTCATGTCTTGCTTAGATATGACTCTTTGTTGCCAATCTGTCAACTAATGGCTTCAAATGACAATCTGGACAGTTGCAATGAAAAGCAACTCGATTTTAGTATTAAAGTAATGGTTGATAAAAAGTGTTTAATTTAAGCTTAATGAAGGAGAGAATAGATCACAGCATTCGGGTCAATCAATGTTTGTTCCAATGACAGATGGAGAGGACTAGAACTAGATAAGATGTTTAGCCATCGTGACACCATTTGTCGCAAAAATCACTGAAAAATTCTTTGAGTTATTCAGCTAGAAAGAGAACATGTTAAAATCATTTTGTGTCAACCTCACTGTCTTCCAAAATGAGAAATGGTAAGAGAAAAAAGATCATTCAGGTCTTCAGTAATGGCATCAATATTCATACTTTGGATTCTATCTTGATTGTTTTGAATTCCAGCAATAACCTTGATTAAAATTTTGTGCAATAATGACTACAAATATACATTTTTGGTGCAGAAACTAAGGTTTCTTTTATGCTACTTACTTGTTTGATGAATAAATTCAGCATTCATGACAATAGAGACAGATTATCCTCTCACAAATCAAGCAGATAATCCTTTTAATCCATATTACATTTTAAAGTGGCAATCACTTTACACATTCATTCAACCAGTACAGTTTGTGCGTCAACTGTTTCTTAATATGTGGCAGACATTTCTCTAATTTATTCTTTTCAAACGCAAAAAACCTGATTGACTTCACACTAAGCAAACCGATCCCTTCTACATATATGTACTCTAAAGTAAATAAACATATGATCACATGTGAATGCATACATATGCACCCATTTATTTAGTGTTTGTTAGAGCATGATAGACGAGAAACACATCTGACTATTCAATGCCAGTGAGTACTTACTGAGCTACAGTGGATTTGTGTCAGACTAACTTAAACAGAATAAATATTTGTAGCCATTCCAAGATGTGGACGGTTGCTGAAAGGTTCTAAGATAGATTCACTTTTTTGACCAGCCATCAAAATTTTTAAGGTCCTTCTTGGTCAGACTTAGAACTTTTCAGCAAACCATCATATGTACACATTCTTATTAATTTGGTAATAATAATAATATGCATACACATAAATAAATTTATATATCCAAAATCATTGTCATTTGAAAATTCCCTTCCCTACCTACTTTTTTATCTGAATTCTGACTTCCATGTATCTAAAATGTGTAGTGATCGGAGATACTTTTTCATCAATGTCAAACTTAACTGATAAATTGGCACATCGCTAAAAACAATAAAATATATTTTTTCTGCGAGTTTCATTTTTGAATAATCTTGAAATAATATTAAACTTGATGCTCGGTTAACTTAAGAATTTGACATTTGAAATTTTTGATTTTAAATTCAACTGTTAACTTAAAATTTAATTTTTATATTGATTTCTAATTTAATTTAATCTAAACTTTAATGCACTATAAAATTGTACTTAGAGTATATTGTCATGTTATTTTGAATAACTATATACTTGTATTCTGATTGGTCATCATAGGTTACGTAATATAGTTTCCCCAACTGAGGGGTTTAGTTGGCTTTTGAACTCTTAAAACCATTTATTTTCCATTCAACATCATCACTTGATAAGACACCAATAGTGTTGAAACGAAATTGTAACATTTGTAGTGATTTTATAACATGCATATGCTATAAATTTGAATATATATATATATATATATATATATATATATATATATATATATATATGTGAAAAGTGTATATAAATATAAATAAATATAAGCATGTATAATTATTTATATATTATATCTGGTACTTATTAGAAAGTGCTCAATATATATATATATATATATATATTAGCCATTATTAAAGATGACAATTTCATTACAATATATTAAACAATACACAGACAAAACAATAATGATAGTCTGTTTTTATTTACATGGATGATTTCCTAGCAATGACAAATTTGTGCATACGAGATGCTGGAAGTGAAAATCGCACCGCAGCTCATGACGTCACACATGACCACACCAGAGTGAAAATGAGAAGTATTAAGTTTGTCATTGTTTGGAAATCATCCATTATCGTTTATCATCATCATCGTTTATTATAAAACAGAGCATTTACTTAAATATTTGTATCTATAAAAAGAATGTATAAACATAAAAAATGTCTTAAAAAATATCTATATGTGTATGTTGCATTTTTTATATATATTTTGTACGTGTATATGTATATGTTTATATGTTTACATTTGTTATGCAGACTTTGTCCATTTCATAATGTGTGACATATGTAAACATATACATATATATAAATATATATATATATATATATATATATATATATATATATATATATATATATTATATACATAATGAAATGTATTAAGTCTGACAATTATTTAACATATTTTTAGTTTATACATTATTTTTATAGATACAATGTATTTAAGTAAATACTCTGTTTTTAATTAAACAGTATTAATTCCATTTATCAGCCTGAATGTTTCAATCTCGTTCCTATTTGGAAACCTATTCCTTGCATTTCTCAAATAAGAACACTCACACAGACATTTCCATCTATCTATCTATCTATCTATCTATCTATCTATCTATCTTTCTATCTATCTATAAATAAAGGATTCAGTTTGAAATTCTTTGATAATTCCCTGATAGTGTTTAAATGCTGGAAACTTTATCCCTTTGTAGTTTTACCATCTTTACAGAATGGGAATGCAGACACAGATGAAAGGCTTCAAGTTTAGTTCTCTGTCTGAGTAATGTTTCAGTAATTCTTTTGAACCCTGCCCTTCATCAGACCCTTGTATTGCCATTGTTTTCTGCCTATAAAAAAAGTTACTGCTAACTAGATTACTATAAGCTTTAGAATTTGATACCATCACAAAACAAGTGATGTAAAGCCAACATGAATTTATTTACAAGGAAGCCTTTTTGTTGGATCATATTCCAGATTCTGACTAATTCCTCAAATGCCTTACATTAACCTTGAAAGCTGGCAACTCGTGTAATTCGAGTAAATCTGAAAACATGAAATCTCCTTGAAACAAACATTCAGTTTTCTCTCTTTGAATGTGAGGACAACTTTGTTTATGCTATTTATAAAAAAAAAATAAGCCCAATTAGATCTTATTTGGAAACCTATTCCTTTATCATGCATTTCTCAAATAAGAACACTCACACAGACATTTCCATCTATCTATCTATCTATCTATCTATCTATCTATCTCTATATTGAGTGTAACAACAAAATTGTCTAAATCGTGTAACTGCATAGGATAATTGTCCATCCCACAAAATGTTTAATATCTAAAAAAGCACTAAACTAATCAAGTTTCTTTTTTCCAGGTTTAGCCAACTTGACACTATTTGTAGCAAGAATCACTGAAAAATCCTTTGAGTTATTCAACTAGAAAGAGCACAGGTTAAAATCATTTTGTCTGAGTCCCACTGTTTTCCCAAATGATCAATGGTAAGAGGACAAATATCATTCAGATCTTCAGTAATGGTACCAACATTCATACTTTGGCCTCTATCTTCAAAGTCCATTCAAGAACCATCAAGAGAACAGTGAATAGGTTTTAAAAAGAGGGAATAGTAGAGAGAAAAACTAAATCAAGAGGTCACAACAGGAAGAGGGATCATCCTTTCAACTTAGAGCTAAAGAAATCAATTAGAAAAGATCCAACTCAGTCCATAAAATGTTTGACATGTGAGAGAGTAGTTTCATCTATGACAGTCCAAAGAGTAGTAAAAAAAGACTTGAAAATGAAATTGCACATGAAACCTGTGAGGCACCTTGTTACTCCAGGACAGAAAGTTAGGAGTTTAGAGAGGGTGAAGATCATCTTGAATTAGTTGGAAAATGATCCTGGAATTATATATATATATATATATATCTGAACTTTATTTCTATTCTTCATGAGCTTCTGATCCTTCGCTATGATTAATTGATGAACATGTCATTTTTCATTTATGATCGATTTCATCACAATTTTTCTGTTAAGCTTGGAGAGTAATTATACATTCTTATTGTTCAAAGTAGAGTCCAATAGTGTTATAAAAACCTTGGGAAATCATAGTAAGGTATCTTTAATCATTTCTAAGATACAACAGGTTCAAAGCTCAATTTAATAAATGGACAATTTTGTTGTTACACCTGGAATATATATATATATATATATATATATATATATATATATATATATATATATATATGAAGAAATATAGCTTTAAAGTATGGTATATTTATGGGATAAACTCAATGTGTTTATAGAGTGCATGTAAATATAAAAGTGAACATTGAAGTCAACATTCAGAGGAGACAAACTGTTTCATGCTAAAAGCAATCATCAGGCCACATGTGGCCTGATGATTGCGTTTAGCATGAAACAGTCTGTTGCCTCTGAGTGTTCACTTCAATGTTCACTTTTATATATATATATATATATATATATATTATAATAATAATCCAATTTGTCCAAAATTATGTATGTATTAGCCTTATCAGTTCATCTGATGACAATATTAAAATTGTTCTTTCGTTAGAATATTGTTATAGTGATTGTGAGGAGAGTGATCTTTTAAACCTTCTATCTTGACAAGATCTCTGAGGCTTGGATGAAGTCTTATTACTTTATCCGTTTCCATTTGGGAGGGTTAGGTTCGGGTTAGGGTAAAGGTTAGTTACACCACTCATTATCCCAATGATAGCATCTGTGTGCATGTGTAGTTGCATCAACATAAACAAACCTAGTCCAATGAAGCTCAAAGGGATGAAAAGCATCATGCAAAAACATTTTCCACTTTGTCATAAATCTTTCCTCCATATATATATATATATAGAGAGAGAGAGAGTACTGTCTGTAAATGACATATTTATATATATGTATCATTCAGAGACAGTACTGTTTCACAGCTCTTCAGTACAACTAGACATCAAAATACCTCAAGTCAGGATTGAAACCCAACCAATTTGCTGTCAGTCAGAGTTCCTCCCACTGAGCTATCTTCAATATACTTAAAAAATCAAGAGATAGATTCAAGTGACTGCCTGATTTTTAAAGTTAAAAGCTCTACATGTTATCTTTACTTTCATTTTATTTTTCACATGTGTATTGAGCATTTTTTAATACTGTTCCTGGTTTGATTCAACTCTGACCATTAACCATTTATGTTTGGGAAGTTTTTTTGGCTATACTCTGTATAAAGCAAAATGTTTCATTCAGGACCCTTAAATGTGGTAAGCATATTATCAGATACAGGGGTGGTTTGAATATAAGAACTTTTTTTCTCATGAGAGTTTTATCAAGCATGTCTTTTAATCAACAGAAAGCCATGTTGCTCTAAGGAGTACTAATCATACAAAATTTAAAATTTTAAATTTCCTATTAGCTATTAGTCATTTTAGTGTCATTCAGACAAATACAAATGACATATATAGTATTTCTGTAGATAACAAAAATATAGTCATTTATAATCTACTTTTTGAGTAGGATAGAGGAATACTTCAGCTAGTATATGCATATGTTGACAGCATAAGAGATGATAATTGTTTATCTATGTGAATAAAACTATGCCATTTTGTGTGTTTGTGTGTTTGTGCGTGTGTGTGTGTGTGTGTGTGTGTGTGTGTGAGATGCTGGAATTTCTAAATAGCTGGGCCAATTTTGATGTTATCACAGTTGATGGTAAAATGATTTGGATGCTAATAATTGTAAATTAAGGACATTTTTTTTTCTCAACCTAATATTTAAGCAGGTTCAATTCACTGTCGAAAGTTGACCTTTTTTGTTAATTTTGACAATGCTGGTAGTGTTGCAGTTAATAAATGCCAAATGTGTTTATTTGTCTATATTCTTTCATTACAACTAGATCTTTCTTTCTTTTTTCTTTTCCTTTCTTTCTTTTTATTTCTTTCTTTCATTTCCTTTTTGTGATTTTCATTAATTTTCTTCCTCACACACACTCACACATCCAGATAGGCATGTCCTTATTAACTGGCGTATCTGTTGTGTATGAGTGTGTACAAATACACATGGCTTATGAATATATATATATATATATAAGTGGTTGAGGAAAAGTTCTTGACCTCAACTAAGAAAGAATTTTTTAAAAATTGATGCTTTGTAAATTTTTGAAAGTAGGTTGGGACAAGAATTTTAGCACTCCCACTTTGTGTCTGTTTGTGCTCTGTGTATATATATGTATATATATATATATATATATATATATATATATATCAAATATATATATATATATATATATATACATATACATATATATATATATATATATATATATATATATATATATATATATATATATATTAAACAAGGTAAAAGTTTCTAATAATAACAATAATCCTTCATCTTTAATTCTTAATGTGCATATACAGAGTAATTAATTAAATTAAATGTTCAGCTTATCTTTCCAACTCAGAGTATCATGGAGGTATATCCACTAATATTTTTTAATCACTTCATCCCAAGCAAGACAGTAAAGCCACTAAGACACAAGTGCTTACCGAGTGTGAAAGAATAAGAAGAGAATCATTATTAATGAGCAGGAACAATAAAAGAGTAATGAAGAAGACAGTAGATAATGATTAGTATTGCATTTCAATTTCTGAAGACAAAGTTAGCTGGAAGGTATGGAGTCTCAAGAGAGTTCCACAAGTGAGAAGTGTGATAAAAGAAACTGTTAGCATAGAACTTATGGTTACAGCTAGCCAAATCATCTGTAATATGATGGGATTATGTTGCCAATCTAGTACTGTGCTTAAATTCATAAAGTCTTGGTACCAAAGGGAAGAGTGTTACTTTCGCTAGTTTCCAAACTGCATGAATTTAAACATGCTACTAGGTTGGCATCTCAGTCCCATTCTTCCACTGTTGAAACGGTTAAATGTAGCCGTCTCTTCTAGTCCAAGAACTTCATGTCTCATACTTCCTGTCTGTGGAACTCCCTTCTTCTTACTTGCTTCCCTGATAGCTATAATCTCAAACTATTCAAATGCAGTGTCAATCAACATCACCAGATGCCTTGATCTATTCCCTGTCCTTCTCTTCATCCTTTCCTCTATCATGCCTCTTTACTCTTGCTCCTACTCTCTGTAACCCCTTGCGTGCTAAGGGCACTCCCGCCTTGCTTGGGGTGAAAAGCTTAAAAGAAAAATAATTAGAAAGTACTTCTAAAAAAGGCACAGGAAGATACATTATGGTGGTAGGAAAGTGACTGAAGACAAGATGCCAGGTCAGGGTCAATATTATTGCTGATTCTTCTTTGGATTTTATCAAAAATCTCTAAATATATAGCAGGAGCACTGGGCCATATACAGCAGCAAAAAGAGTACCATGGAAACAGCATGCTTTACTTAGCATTCCCACTAGAAGTACCAATACAAACATTTCAGGGTGTTTGGGTATCAATCTGAAGATAGTGCAGAGGATAAGAATTGGATGAGTCTAATTGTGATTACGAATGTGTTTTGAGTGATCACTAGTGATGGCGACGTTATGCCTCCATTCATCCCACAGGGCCTCAGACTCAACACAGAAGCCTACATCAGGAGGTAGTGCTCTCCTGGGTCAAGAGGGTGGCTGCTAGCAGACACTATATCTGGCAACATGACTCTGCACTCTGCCACACAAGCAGGAGAACTCAGTCATGGCTGTGAGACAATTTCTGTGACCACATCACCCCTTACATCTGGCCAAATAACTCCCCAGATTGCAACCTACTTGATTGTTATGTGTGGGGTGCAGTTGAGCAAGAAACTAACAAAACTCCTTGTCACATTAAAAGCAAGGATTATGGTAGCAGTCACCAACTTAAACAAGGAGTATCTGTCTATATTTCTGAGATGAGGTATTATGTACACTATTTACATTATTCGGACTATTGTCCTCATCTTTGTCGCCATATTTATTACAACGTTTCGGCCTTTCAGTATCTGTCTATATTTCTGAGATGAGGTATTATGTACACTATTTACATTATTCGGACTATTGTCCTCATCTTTGTCGCCATATTTATTACAACGTTTCGGCCTTTCAGTATCTGTCTATATTTCTGAGATGAGGTATTATGTACACTATTTACATTATTTGGACTATTGTCCTTATCTTTGTTGAAATATTTATCACAACGTTTTGGCTGTTGTATGCTCCGGCCTTCTTCAGGTGGTTGGAATGTCAAACTGAACCCTTTATTTCATTCACTGGGGTAGACTGTTCT